TATTAAGATTTGGGGGTCCATCTTAAAAGGTCAACCTTATTAAGAGGAGTAGTCCAAGATCTTTATTAATTGGTTTGTGTCAACATCTTTATTCGATGTGGGATTATATCCCTTAACATATATTTCCATAGTAGCTGATGTAATTTATGCTTAAGTCGGTCGCCTCTATATAAGTGTAAGCGAAACAAATAAGCGTCTCCCATGCTTACGTTAGAAGAAGCACTAGGAGGAATAACATGAAAAGAAAAGCACTGTAGTATTAATTTTGCTCATCCCCTTTCTGGTTTAGGATGCTCAATGTATAAGTATCTTAAGTCAGTGGTCATTTGCCACTACCCCGAGTTTATACATATTTACGAGTGGGTCAAATAGGTATGGTAATGGTGCATAACGCTAGAAATGGAACGGGAGTGAGCAGTTATGCTCAACAGTAACTCTTTGTTTTTGCACATTCCAGGGCAATGGCGTCGATAAAAGCTTATGCAATAACCTGTTCTTGTTCTGCTTTTATAGGTATTGACTGGATAGAATACAAAAAGAAGTTGAAAAAGGCAGAGCAATGGAATGTGGAAGTCTACTAATGGATTCTATCTTTCTTGTATTGTACAAATATCAGCCAGCCAATGTGATTTTATCTGTGCTGATGTAGATAGTCTACTTTCTTTTTTGTAACTTATTTTCCTTTTCCAATATTCTTCTTTCATGATCAAACAGTTGCACTGCTGACCCTATGGAAATTTTTGGAGTATGGATCATGAAAAGATATAATAGTGAAACAAACTTTAATCTCATCAATGTGTAACTTGTTATGATCAGCATTTTTATGTCCAAATTATTGGCCACTCCGGACTAACTGGAAATTTTCGAATCTGTGAATTTTGGCAATCAAATAACGTGATCTGTGGATAATTCATCTCAAGCTTAGTGTAAATTTTCTTACCTGGAAGGGATGACATGGAGGTGTTTATAGTGAAGAGGAAAATTGTCGTGAATAGGAATCATGGACTAGACACTGTCGATGCCAAAATAAGGTCACCTCGAAGGATGGAATTAGATTTATCGAATGTTGAAATTGGTTTTCATGAACACTAGGAGCCCTTGAAGACACTCAGATACTTAAATCAATGAAGATTTAGACAAGTTGTGACACAACATAACTGAATTCTATACTTGGAATTTGATGATGCGTGTTCATGACCGTTAGAGATTTTTATAGGGAGTTTTACAGAATGTCACATGGCAACATTTCATTGGATTTTGGACAAAAAACATAGTTAAAACAATCAATCAGGTGCTATCATCTCAGCACCTATAAAACTCCATGTCCATTATCCTTGTGCAAGTATCATTTCTGAATCAACTTTTTATCTCCTCTAAAGATGAGTTGTCTATCTTAGCTATTGTCACTAAATTGTTCTTTTCTTAGAATTTGGCTAATTGTTATGGGTCTAATGTCTAACCCTTGCACTAGCTCCATGTTAATAATTTCGATTCAGATTGAAGCTTTCATCTTAGCTAACACGACGAATTCAAGTTAGATTTAGCCACTAGTTGTCCTCTATTCTCTATTATTCATTTATAGTAATGATTGACAAATAGTCACGCATAATTTAGCTTTTAATTACATTACATGTATTGCTCCTAGTGTCCTTTGTATGATAATCTTCGGGAAGTGTTTATAAATTGTTCAAGTTAGATTTTGCCACGTGTACACAGACATTGTTAACACCATTGTGTATATGTTGGAAATTAGTTTAGAAGATTGAAAATTTGGTTAAGTGTCAAAATCAAAAAAAGCTTGAAAAAGTGAGTTTCGTGTCAACTTCGGTCAAATATTTGAACTTGATCCGATGGTCAAATTACAAATGTAAATAGACCAACATATTTTATTCGTCGAGTAGATCGTCGTGGTGTATTTGTAATCTCAAAACTAATTTCGGATGAATGAGAAATTGCGGTCGAAAGTTGTGAACAAAGTCGAGGAAACTGCCGGATATTTGCATAAGTGTGTCGTTCACATGACGCCGGACCGTCGCTCGAGCGACATGCTAGCGACAAAGTCACTGTTTTTATCGCTCGAGCGAGGTGATGGCGACATGTTAGCGATAGTGAATGGTGCAACTCTTAGCAAGAGTTGCTGAATTTGGAGCGCGGTACTTCATTTACAACCTCTCATCCTCTATATATAGGACAACTTGGACATCCATTTGATATCTCATACCATATTTGCATTGAGCATTGCATAAAACTCTTGCAAATCACTTGCAAATTCAATCAAAACCGTTTTCTTCTTTGTAGAGAGAAACTCAGTCGAAAGTTCGCAGTAACTTGTGGTTTGAAATGTTTCTACTATAAGTTGAATCCGTTGTATCTTGAGAAACAAGTGCCGTGAACCATGAGCACCGTTATGGGGCAATTTTGTCTTAAGGAAAAAGTGAAAATCACTTGCATCGAATTCTTTTTCTTCTTTGTTTCTTGGCTGCCATTTGTTTTCATTTGTAGTTTTCACACTACATTTCCAATCACCTTGTTATATTGTTTAGTCACGCTCATGCAGATTAAACTTTGTTTTTTGTTTATTTGATACACAACAACCATTTCACTCGCCTTATATTTAGCACGCGTTGCCAACAGTATTAAAGGTACATTTAACTCTATTGCCATGCAAGCCTATCTAGAATATGAATTAAAGAAATGTTGAGCCCTATTTTATTTCTAATTGATTCACACCTTCTTTAAACCTGTTTTCAATAATCGGACTTCTTGGTTTTATTATCCTATTTTTATAATGATTAAAGCTTGTGAGGCTTTGGAGATTAATCCCCCATTATTTCACAACGACATTAACAATATATAAACTAAGGGTGGGTATTGAGTAGTTCAGTTCGAATATATCGAGAACCAAACTGATTCTCATTGAAATAAACCATGACTTCTTGTCGGATGTTATTATGCTTCTTAAATAAAATATAAGGGTTCATTTGTTTCTCATTTTTACCTCATTTGTAGATAAATTCTTCCCGTTATACAGTGATAGTGTCAGAAGGAGCCAATTTTTCTTTTGACCTAATTTGCTTAAATTACCAATTTGCCCTTTCAAACAATTTTTTTTGTGAGACAAGTTATAACAATTTCGTAAATAGGTTGCTGTCATAACAAAAGCTGCTGCGCCCTAGGATCCATTGACAGAATTAACGGTCATAAAATACATTCTCATTTTTGGCCAAAATGGTTATCAAACAGGGGCTAAATTGTAAATTGTTGTGCAAAATTTTCACTTTTATGCCATAAGTTTTAAACAATAAAACTCTTAGTTATTCTGAATGCATATGAATTTATAAAGATTACAATTTTATTAATAAGTTATACAAAAACATTTTGGAACCCAATCAAAAATTGGTTCTGTAGCTGAAACCAACATTTGAGCTATAATCTTTCGATTCTAAGACCTAATTGTCTAGTTTGATACGATTGTGATTTGAGTCGTATGATTCTGAGTAAAAATATCCTCCCCTAACACATATAAAATTCTTCTTTTTTATAAACACTTCTTCTATATATACAATTCAATAATTTCTTTCATAATTCAAGCATTAATAGTATAAATTTTTATTTTTCCAATTAATTAATGCATATTTAGTATTAATTTAATCAATGATTAAAAATTATAATTTGTTAAAAGATAAGGATTCAATCATACATTATGGAAGCAAATCGAGTACTAGAAAAATAAAAAAATCAGAGACGTAACAACTCCTTTTTTGAAGTTGAATAAAGCTATTGTGCCAGAAAAAAAATGCCCACCTGAGTGACCTATTCTCACATAAGTATGGGACCGATGTGGGACCCGCGTAAAATAAAAAATGAAAAAAAAAAAGCTCCCCCGATGTGTGTATCATGTCAGGGAGGGTGTCACACCCTCCTTGGCACTATAGCTTCATCCTTTGAAGTTTGATGACTCAAGTACAATACTACTATTTTGCCAAAGACGTTTGGAAACAGAGGAAATACATGGAAATAACATTTTCACTGTTGCATATTTCCAAAGTGACCTTTGACCAAGATAGAGAATTAAAAAAAAAAAACAAAAGGTGAAAATATAGCTTTAGGTGGAAAAAATCAAAAATGTCCTCACTTTACAATTTCGACTGTTAACAGCTTGTTCAGCCGGCCCAGATCCGGCTGTTAATTAAAAACAAAAAAACAAAAGGTGAAAATATAGCTTTAGGTGGAAAAAACCAAAAATGTCCTCACTTTACAATTTCGACTGTTAACAGCTTGTTCAGCCGGCCCAGATCCGGCTGTTAATTAAAAACAAAAAAACAAAAGGTGAAAATATAGCTTTAGGTGGAAAAAACCAAAAATGTCCTCACTTTACAATTTCGACTGTTAACAGCTTGTTCAGCCGGCCCAGATCCGGCTGTTAATTAAAAACAAAAAAACAAAAGGTGAAAATATAGCTTTAGGTGGAAAAAACCAAAAATGTCCTCACTTTACAATTTCGACTGTTAACAGCTTGTTCAGCCGGCCCAGATCCGGCTGTTAATTAAAAACAAAAAAACAAAAGGTGAAAATATAGCTTTAGGTGGAAAAAACCAAAAATGTCCTCACTTTACAATTTCGACTGTTAACAGCTTGTTCAGCCGGCCCAGATCCGGCTGTTAATTAAAAACAAAAAAACAAAAGGTGAAAATATAGCTTTAGGTGGAAAAAACCAAAAATGTCCTCACTTTACAATTTCGACTGTTAACAGCTTGTTCAGCCGGCCCAGATCCGGCTGTTAATTAAAAACAAAAAAACAAAAGGTGAAAATATAGCTTTAGGTGGAAAAAACCAAAAATGTCCTCACTTTACAATTTCGACTGTTAACAGCTTGTTCAGCCGGCCCAGATCCGGCTGTTAATTAAAAACAAAAAAACAAAAGGTGAAAATATAGCTTTAGGTGGAAAAAACCAAAAATGTCCTCACTTTACAATTTCGACTGTTAACAGCTTGTTCA